AAAGGAAAACTCACTCATCTATGGTCAACATGATAGAACTCTCATTTGGGAAAAGGATAGTTTTCAATTTTATTCAATCAAGTTCACACATACACACATATACATACATACACACACACACACACACACACACACACACACACACACACACCACATGCTCCATGGATATCAGGAAAGTCACTGGGATCCAAGCCCTGGGCAGGGCTCTCTGTAAGCTTAGGTACGAAGAACTTAAGATTCCTGGTCTGTGCAGTGAGTGTAGGCAGGTTGATCTCCTGTGAAAGACTGTAGGGGGTCTGCCTTTGTCTATAGAGGTATACACCCATGTAGGCACTCTCGAAGGAGGTGAACTGAATTTTGGAGGATAGCTAGGCATTCACCTGCTTGACACTGCAGGGAAAGCCATCCCACATAGTATCTGAGTGAGTGGTGCCGGCCTCTGTCATCTGTGTGCTGTGTAGCCACAGTCTGAAGCCATTACCTTATAAAACTCCTCCCTCTCTGAGGACTTAACTTGCTGGCCTGCTGTTTCTTAGAATCCCAGAATCCCACTTAATTGAAATACCAATATCCCAACTCTAGCATCTGGAAGGCTCCTCTTGATAGAAAGGCACATCTGGAGGGACTTGTGATTTAGAGGACAAAAAAGTCTCAAAAAATGACTCCTGGCTTTGTTCTTTGTGTTGTCATTGGAAAACATACTCCCTAGATTATAGGCCCAATAATACAATTTGTACAATGTCTTTCCCCTTCCCCACTGCACTGCCAGATATCAAACCCAGAAAAGTGCCAGGTAAATGCTCTACCACTGAGCCAGATCCCTAGTTCTTTCTTTTAACTTTGAGACACTGTCTTTCTAAGTTGTCCAGGCTGGCCTTGAACTTAATGTATAGCCCAGGCAGGTCTTAAATTTGTGATCTTTCTGCCTCCGTTGCTCTAGAAGCTGGGATTACAGACCCTGCACCTCCATGACTGCTTCAGCTCTTCATTTTTTTTTAAAATAGGGCCTTGTTGTGTAGTCCAGGCTGGCTTCAAACTCCTAATCCTCCTGCCTCAACAAGTGCTAGGATTTCAGGAGTGTGCCATCTGTCTGGCTACACTATCTTTTTATAATGACAATTTTCCTCTTTGAACTGTAAAAAATAGTCACTTGGAAAATACACAAACTTCAGCTCCCAGTATACTTTAGTGTGTCCTGGGCAGTCTTGCCTATTACACTTCACAGTGACTTGTGGAATTTTTACAAGAGTCCTTAGAATTAGTCACTGCTGACTGTACTGTACAGGTTTGACCATTGAGGCTCAGAAAAGTATTCAGGAACACATAGACATTGACTAAGCAAGCTTGGAGTCCCCATCTATGAAACTCCAAGGGCAATACCCATTCCAGATCACTGCCTGTTTTCCCTTTATTCAGCTAAGACACCAAGGAATGTTCTCAAGAACACTCACTGGGAATGTAGCTTAGCTGGTACAGTGCTTGCCTACCATGCATGAATCCCTAGGTTCCATCTTCAGTACTGCATAAAATCTGACTGGCACTCAGGAGGTGAGCATAGGAAGATCAGAAGTTCAAGGTCATCCTTAGCTACAAGTCAAGTTAGAGACTCCATCTCAAAGAAAGGGAGGGAAGGAGGGAAGAAGGGAAACTCTAAGCCAGTATGGTGGCACGTGTCTATAATCCCAGCACTCTGGAGGTGGAGGCAGGAGGATGGCAAACTAGAGACCCACCTGGGCTACATAGCAAAACCATGTCTCAAAATAAATAAAGGAAGAACCAAGAGACTCATGAATATAATGCTTGGTTTTGTAAGAGCAGGTTTTTACCTTGAGGCAGTGATGTACCAGAGCCAGCTGCTGCCTGGCTACCTGCCCAACATCCTCTGGGCCTCATGTGTACATTGGATGAGGCCATATGTTTCCCAGACATGTAATCATGGTTCTTTGCCTGACATAACTGCTTTCCATATGGGCCAGGTAAAAGGTTGCTACTTCCCTGGGGAAAGGCAGCAAGAGTGGATCCAGCTGTTGGCAGCCTGGGGCCTTGAGGCCCACACAAAACTCACCAGGGACCTGCATAGCTGAGTAAAGGAGCAATTTTTGTGTGGCTGGTCCCTCTGGTACCTTTTTCACTACTCCCTTCCTCTGTCCACCCCACAACTTGGCCTATGTTTTACATGACATACCTCAGGGTGCTTGGTGCATAAGGGTAAACTAATTTTGTCCAGAGCCTTGGCAACAGAAGCAAGAAGTTTCTGCAACCTAAGTTCTAGCATCCTAGTCATGTAAGCACAAGCCACAGTGGCCCACAGTGGGTCCAGCAGAGTAAGCTGATGATCAGTAGAGAACAGGCCCATTACTACCTCCTTCTCCTGCCCTCACCCCCACCCAGTGTTGGGAATTGAACCTAGGGCCTCACACTTGCTAGGCAAGTGCTCTACCCTTGGGCTATATACTCATTTTTTTTACTTTTTATTTTGAGACAGGGTCTCACTAAATTGTCCAGACAGGCCTTGAACTTGCAATCCTCATGCTTCGGCCTCCTGCAGTGTTAGGGTTAAAGGCAAGGACCACCACACCTAACTCCCAACCTGCTTTTACTTTTTAAATTTTTTTAAATTGCATCTTATTTATTTGCTTATTTATTTGGGGAGGATGCATATGGAGGTCAAAGGACAACTTGCAGGAGGCATTTTCTCCTCCCATTATATGGGTCCCAGAGATTGAACTCAAGTCATTGATCAGGCTTAGTGGCAGTCATCTTGAGCTATCTTACCATCCCTCTTTTCCTTTTTTATCTTGAGACAGGATCTCACTAAGGAGCCCACGATGACCTTGAACTTGCAGTCCTTCCTGCATCTCCTGAATACTGAGATTACAGGCCTGAGTCACCAGCCCAGTTTTCTTTGGAATAGTTTGATGGGCATTTTCTATAACTAAACCAGTCCTATGCAATAACAATTTCAAGTTCTACCTTTTTGAAGTCATTGAACCACATTGGCCTTTTCTCATATATCAGTTTGTCATCCATATTTGTTTGTTCTGAATTCACAGATTCAACCAACTGTGAATCGAATGTATTCTGAAAAACAAACATAACAAAACAAAACAAAACAAAACAAAAATTGTGTCTGTACTACCCAGGTACAGACTTTGTTCTTGTCATTATTCCCTAAACAATATAATCTATTAATTATTTACATTGTATCAGGTCTCATAAGTAAGTTAGGAAAGATATACTGGAAGGTGAAAGTGATAATGCCCACTGTTAATCTCAACAACTGGCTGACAGGATGTTCTCAAGTTCCAGGCCTGCCTGGGCTGCACAGTGGGTTTAAGGTCAAACTGAAGAACTTAGTGAGACCCTGTCTCCAAATAAAAGTAAGATGCTGGGAATATAGCTCAGTAGTAGAGTACATGCCTAGCATATGCAAGGCCATAGGTTCAATCTCCAGTAGTGCAAAAAGTAAAAATGCATTATATTGAAGGATGAGTGTAGGTTATATGCAAATACTACCCTATTTTATATAAGAGACTTGGCTTCCTGGGATTTTGATATCTTGCCCAATTTGAGAAGATATGTGTATGTGAAACCTGTCCTTCAGAGACATCAATGAAGTTTTTACTATTGACAGCAGCTAAGACAATGGCTTTACAGCATTTGAAGTGTTTTACTTAGACCAGATGAGGTAACACACACCTGTAATCCCAGCATACAGAGGCCTGAGGCCAAAGGATAAAGAGACCATGTTTCACAAAAACAAAAGTAAAATAAAGGGCCTTGCCTATCCTTACTACAATCCTGGAAGCTCAGTACTATTCTTACGCTAATTACCCTGTTGGAGAAACTAAGATTCAGAGAAGTCAAGTGATTGACCCACAATTACACAGTCAGTGACAGAGCTAGAATTCAAACCCAGGCAACCTAGCTCAGAACCACCACACTGAGCTGGCTGATGGTCTAGAAGCTTGTGAAACATGTTATTGCCAAGGCTGGAGCACGTGTATTCTATTGCTGTAAGGTCTCTTCTCCCTTCATCCTTTCTGGTAGTGTGGGAGTAAAGCTTCCGTCAACAAGGCTTTAGAAGACTCAACCTGTCAACAAGTTTTTGTGTATTCTGGGTGATCGCTCAGATCAAATTTCTTGATCAAAGGAAACAAGCCATTTTAAGGTTCTTGCTCCATGTTGTTCAACTTTAGGAGAAGTTGTGTCAGTCCCACATGTGCTATCAGATGAACATACTTACTTAGCCAATAGTAGGAGGTGTAACAGGAAGGGAAATGCTAAAATGCCATGTAAGACCCTAGGTCATAATATACATGAGATCTCCAAGCCACGCCAGCACATAAGGTTTTCCATAAAATGGTCTGGGAACATGGAAATAATTCCTGGACCCCTTGGCCATTCAAGGATGGAAAAGGCATTAGAGAATTGTGCTGGTGAAGAGTAGGGAGATATTCTCTAGAAATGGTGCCCTGTTAGAAAACTGTATGTCACCTCTTCCCCTCAAGCCCATGAGAATCATTCTTTTTATTTATTTGTGTGTGTGTGTGTGTGCATGTGTGTGGTATGTATTATATGTGTACGTGTGTGCATGTTCATGTGTGTGAGCATGGGTCATGGCATGCATGTGGAGGTCAGAGGACAACCTCAGGTATCATTCTTCGCCTTTCATCTTGTTTAAGAGAGGGTCTTTCCCTTGGCTTTTCCTGATATGTACTCCAGACTAGCTAGCCCAGGAGCTTCCAAGGATCTTCCTGTTTCTGCCTCCCATCTTTCACTGGGATGACAGATGCATGCTACCACAGCCAACCTTACATGAATTCTAGGGGTTCAAACTCAGATCCTTATGTTTGTATGGTAAGTGCTTTACCCACTGAACTATCTCCACACCCCCACCCAAGAGAATCATTCTAATATTGCACCATAGTGAGAATGATATTACTCACCAGGAAGGAGCTTGGCCAACCCAGAGCCTGACATCAGACAATGAAATACTATAGCCTAACCTTGTGGGTAGGGAGAAAACTACAATGAGGTGGGCTATACCCACCATGTTGACCCTGTAGGCTGTGACCACTTTGGTCCTGACTCAGGCACTCCTTGGAGGGGCATAGAGTCCAGGTAATGATGGTTGGGAAGCAGACACCATATTCATTAGGATGGAGGAAAGGTCACAAGGATAGGAAATATGGGGAAAGATTCCAAGTAAAGGATATTTCTGAGAACTCATGGAATGGGCCTTGAAGAAAAGAGTACACTTCAACCCCCTGCCAGGTCTAGGGAGCTGGAAACCATGGATCAGTATGAAAGCCCACCTCTCTACTTTCTGCCCTCCCCAGCATAGAAGCCCCCAGACTCCCCACTTTCCATTCCCTGTAGCCAGGACTATAGGACGCTAGTCTTATCTTTGAAAAAAGATGAACTTCCACACCAGGCATGGTGGCGCACACCTTAGTCTCAGCACTCGAGAGGCAGAGGCAGGAAGACCTCTGCAAGTTCGAGGCCAGCCTGGTCTCCATAGCGAATCCAGGCCAGCTGTGCTACAGGGAGACCCTGTCTCCTCTTTTTTTTTAAAAAAAAAAAAAAAAAAAAAAAAAAAAAAAAAAAAAAAAAAAAAGATGAACTTCCTCTTCTCATCTAGTTCTACAGTTGCTCCTACAGCTCCAAACATCAGGTCAAGTCTCCCTTTCCTGATCAGTCCCACTAAAAGATGATCTTTACTTTGAAGTTTAGGTCTTTCCCAGGGACCCTTCCTTCCTGCCCCCACTCACCACCTTGGCTTCATCAAGTGACAATCCTCATGGTTCCCTCTAGGTCTGGCCACCAGCAAGAACATCACCATATTGACTTGCTGTCACTGGCACAACCTGACACTCTGTGACGATCCTGCCTGAGAAAACTGGAGAGAGGAGCACATGCAAGAGTCTAGACAAAGTAGAGGCAAGCAGAGAGGCCCATGGCCCTAAAAGCCTCAGAGAGGATAGCTAGGGACTGAGGGACTCAGTGACCCCGGTGTTCAGCTCCAGTCTTGGCACCTACTCAGTGCTGGAAGCTTCACTAGCACTAGCCAAACTTCAAGCATTGCCAAATGAGCTACCTGGGTAGGGATTGCAGATGAGCCAGTTTGGTTGAAGAGCCAAGACTATCTAGTGTGACCTGTCACCCCAAGAAGGAGGGACAAAACTATGGGTTGGTAAGAAGCTGATCCTAACTCCTCCAGTCCCAGTCCTTGATGATGAGAACTGAGAAGATAAAAGTGGAGCTTCCTAATGCTTGTACACACTGCAGTCACAGCTGCCCTTCTAACCTTGTGTCGGCATCACTGCACCCATGGCAGAAGCTGGCCAGAGCACACTGTGGATTCTGGGCTTGAGCCTCACCCTTTGCCTGGTAGTCCAGACAGCCTTAGGTAAGACTCTTACTCCTTTTTGAAGGCGCCAACTGAATACCCTCTTCCAGATAGAGGGACATACACAAGGTCTGGGCAGATGGAAAACAGTGTTTCAGGGTGCTCATCTACAACAGGCTAGAAGTTTGAGCAAGTCATTTGTCTTCCCTAAGGCCCAAGGCTGCTCTGCAAAGTAGGGAGCATGTCTCCTGCCATCCAGGACCAGTGAAGGGAGCTAAGAACACAGCATGTCCATGTCCTGCCTTCTTTCCTTCCCTCCCTCCTTCCTGTCTTGTTTCTCCTAATCAGGAATCCCACTTCTGCCTCCTTGTGCCCTACGTGGGCTTCTTCCCTACCTGTACCTTTCTCCTCAATGCCTTTCTTTCTAAAATTAGTATTATTCTTTGAACTGTGAAAACAATATAACATTAACAAAAGTTTATTGAGGCATAAAATATACACATATCAAGATGCACATAACTGTATAACTGTATATTAATTCCATATATATCTCTTTATATATAACCACCATTCTGATCAAGATCTAGGACATTCCCAGCATCTGATGTGCCACTTCCTAATCAACACCTTCAAAGAAACCACTGTTCTAATCGCTATTGTAAATTGATTTTTTTCCTAAATAATTACTTTTTTAATTTGAGAGAAACTTTGCTAAAACTGATTTTAGCATTCTGTAGTGTTACCATTTGTCTTCTTCCATGTTTATACATATCTGTGATGTTAGGATGATATTTTTTTTTTTTGGTCTTTTTGAGCGAGGGTCTCCCTGAAGCCCCAGCTGGCCTGGCACTCACTATGTACACCAGGCTGGCCTTGAATTCACAGAGATCTGCCTACTTCTACTTCCCAAGTGCTGGGATTAAAGGCATGCTCCACCATGCCCAGCAAGATATTTTTTATTATTCTTATTTACTTAGTAGCAGGGAGGGAGGTTTGCACATGCCATAACATGTATGTGGAGGTTAGAGGACAATTTTGGGGAGTCAGTTTTTGCCCTCCACCATATGAATCCCAGGGATCAAACTCAGGTCATCAGGTTTGGCAGAAACTACCCTTCCCCACTGAGCCATCTCACTGGCCTTACAGCTTTATACTCTGCTCTCTTTTTTTCACTTAAATTATCATTTTATTTTTTTTATTTTATGTGTATGACTATATTGTCTGCATGTATATAAGTGCACCCACATCATTCAGTGCCTGAAGAGGTCAGAAGAGGGCATTGGATCCCCTGGAACTGGTATTACAGATAGTTAGCCACCATATGGGTGCTGGGAACTGAACCCGAGTCCTCTGTAAGAGCAGCCAGTGCTCTTAACCACTAAGCCATCTCTCCAGCCCCTCACTTCAATTCTTATGAAAGAATTTAAGTTTATACTTATTTTTACTTTGCTTACTTCTGTGATATAAATGATGCTTCCATTATCCACTAGAGTTCAGAATGGTATTTGCTTTAATGGGGTCAGGTAGAGGACCCCAAAGTGAAATCACTGAATCAAAACATGTGAGCATTTTATGGCTCTTTGTACACGCTGCCAAATTGTTTTCCCAAGGTGTTATTTATCCTCCATCAACAGTACATGTGAATGCACTGTTATGCCTCATCAGAATAGGGTGCCATCATTTTTTAATTTTTCATCATCAGAATAGGGTGCCATCATTTTTTAATTTTTCATCAGAATAGGGTGCCATCATTTTTTAATTTTTCAGGCATCTGCTGTGCTTCCAGGCTCTTGTTAGTACTTTATGTCTACTAGTAAGATAGAAAGGATATTGGTTTTTGTTTTGAATGATTGGTTGGTTCGGGGTTTTTTTCAGACAGGGTTTCACTATGTACCTAGGCCTCCTGTGTCTATGTGTATATCTATGTGTCTTTACAGGTGCTGTGTGTGTTTGAAAGGGGGGAGTGTGCATTTTCACATGTGAATACAGGCATGCATGTGCCACAGTGTGAGGGTGGAAGTCAGAAGACAACCTTGGGTGTTGGTTTTCACCTTCTACCTTGAGACAGGGTCACTTTGTTGTTGTTTCCTATCCCCATCCCTGGCTGCATGTGCCAGGCTAACCGGCCCAAGAATTTCTGGAGTTTTCTTGTTTCCACCCCTCATCTCTCCATAAGAGCACTGGAATTAGACATTCGTGATATGCATTTGACTTTTATGTGGGTTGTAGGGATTTGAACTAAGGTCCTCACACTTGCATAGCTAGTGCTTTTACCCACTGAACCATATCCATCAGTCTTGAATTCCCCAGGCTTTGAAGTCTTCATCTTCCTGCCTCTGCATCCCAAGTGCTGGATTACAGGTATGCCACCACACTTGCCTTGAAATCTTTTCATAAATGCTTCTGTGCTCCTCTTGGCAGCAGAGCTGAGACTGGACTGTTCCATGCTAGTTTTTGTTCAGGGACATAGAAGCACTTTACCACACGGTTGAAGCTAGTTCCCCAGAGGCCAGGGACTGGATAAATACTATGGTTTACAGCAGTTGTGAGATACTTCCCATGTGTCCTTGGACAAGTTATATACTTTTGAGCTGATTTCCATGTGTTTATAGAAATATTTGCCCTATTAAGTTTTGGGAGACAATTGAGGTAGTAGACATCTATAACTATAATCCCGTCTTGGGAGGTTGAAGCAGGAGAATCTCAAATTTGAGCCCAACCTGGGCTACATAGTGACCCTGTCTCAAAAAAATAAGTTTTTAAGCAAATAAGGTGAGACTATACAGTACTGGGGATCTATATATTACAGCTGTTGCCCCTGCTGACCTGCCTCCATGGCCAAAGAGCCACTATTATAGTCTTTGTTTAAATCTAGAGTTTCTTGTAACTTAGGCCACCCTTGAACTCCTGGTCTTCCTGCTTTAACCTCTCAAGTGAAGAGATTATATGCCACCACACCTAGCACAATAACTCCTTTATGCCTAGATATTGCTTAAGTAAGATCTAGAGAGAACTGAGGATGTGGGCAGGAAATTACTTTGAAGCTACCTGCAGCTGGAAGTGTGAGGGTGCACTATCACAACAATTCCAAGTACTGCTCCAAATATCAGTTGCAAACTGGGCATAGCACCTGTAATGCTAGCCAGGGAGGCTGAAGCAAGAGGATTGTGAGGAGTTTGGGGGGGGTTGTTCTTTTGTTTGTATGTCTGGTATATATGCACACCCATGTGTATGGGTGCACATTCCCATGCAATCAAGACAAGAGGAGGATGTTGTGTGTCCTGTTCTATCATTTTCTGCGTATTCTTTTGAGGCAAGGTCTCTCTCTGAACCTGAAGCTCGCTATTTTTTGGCTAAGCTGGCTGGCCAGCAAGCCCCAGCAAGGATCATGAGTTTGAAATCAGCTTAGACTACAATAACAAGACTTTGTCTCAGAAACAAAAATAAAAGCAAAGCAAAATAAAAAGGTTTCAACAAAATCTAGAAATATTATCATCCTTAAGATTCTTATTCTGCGAGTGTGGGATAGGACCTAGGAATTTTGTTTCATTTGACTTTTGTTGTTGTTTTGTGTTTTGTTTGTTTGATTGTTTGATTATTTGTTTGCTTGTTGAGACATGATTTAATGTAGCTCAAACTAGCCCGGAACAAATGTAACCAAGAATGATCTTGAACTCATGAACCTCCTACCTCAGTTTCCCAAGTGCTAGGATTACACTGTCAGGAATCCGTGTTTTGGGCATTAATTCCCAAATGATTCTGATGCGTGGCCAGGATAAATAAGGACTTAGATCATATTTTCTTTCTGTCACTATACAGAATGAGCTCCAAAGAACAAAGAACAATTCTGTTTTGATAAGGGAAGAGGGAAAGTAACAGATAAGGGTACTTAGAAAGGTCAATGAATGTGAGGCCTCATAAACACTTGGCAGTAGAAGAAGGGCAAGACAAAAATATAGAAAAAGAGGAAGCACCCATAGGCAGAGGGCTGGATTTGACTATCGTACATCTATTCCAAAGGCTGGCTGTGGTATGAGTAGGTTTGGACTTCGTGTGTGTGTGTACTATAGCTTACATATAATTGCACTTGTATGCATATATATGTGTATATATGTTTCCATATGGGCATGCATTTGATTCTTCTGTCTGTATGTTTCTCATGTATACCTGTGTATATACAAATTTGCAAGTGAGTATTGAGATTTAAGTTTGTATAATAGCTCAGCAGTTAAGAGCACTGACTATTCTTGCAGAGAACTTGGGTTCAATTCTCAACACCTACATAGAGGCTAACAACCATCCATAATTCCAGTTCCAGGGGATCCAACACCCTCTTCTGACCTCCTTGGGCACTGCATGACACAGGTTCACTTACAATGTATGTAGCAGGCAATACACTCATACACATTAAATAAAAATAATAAATAAAAAAATTTTTGGTCTTTTTGAAATGGGGTTTCCCTGTAGCCCCAGCTGTCCAGTAGCTCACTATATAGATGAGGCTGGCCTTGAACTCACAGAGATCCACCTGCCTCTGCCTCCCAAGTGCTGGGGCTACAGGTGGGCACCACCACGCCCTGCTAAATAAAATATTTTTAAGTTTATAATAGTAAGATTATGTACAGACATGATTCTATTGCAGAAATGAATTGGGCAGGAGCTGGGAAGATGGTCCAATAAAGTGTTTGCTACACAAGCCTGAGGACCTGAGTTTGGATCTCAAACACTCATATGTCAGTGGTACTGTTTGTAATCACAGGCTAGGGAGGCAGAAACAGATGGATCCCTTAGCCTTGCTGACCAGCCAGTTTAACCAATCAGTGAACTCCAGGTTAAATGAGAGCCCCTGTCTCAAAACAAAAGATAGAGAAAACTGAGGAAGATATCAGACATTGACTGCTAGCCTCCACATGAATGTGTACACAGTGCAGAAACACCTGCACCTTTACCTAAACAGACACACATACATACCACATAGAAAAAAAATGAAAATGAAATTAACCAGGCAAATATTAGCAACAAGGAAGGAGGGATAGTCCTTTCATTGATATTAAATGACACAAAGAGGCAGGCGTGTGGTGCACCCCTTTAATTCCAGCACTCGGAGGCAGGGACAGGCAGATCTCTGTGAGTTCAAGTGTTCTACATAGTGAGTTCCAGACCAGCTGGGGCTACAGGGATACCCTGTCTCAAAAAGACTTAAAAAAAAGACACAAAGAGAAATGGATCATATAACAGACATGAACTTTCATACAACTACCAAAATGATTGAAATCTTAGATAATGAAGAAAAATTCTGACAGAAGCATAAGAGAAACAGAGCAAACAGAGCTGCTATTTTAAATTTTCAAGTTTTTTTATTGTTATGGGAAGCAGTAGCTGAGCTGTGGAGATGGCTCAACAGGCAAAATGCTTACCGTAAAAGTATAAGGATAAGAGTTGGAGCCCCAGAAACCATGTAAAAGTTGGGTGGATGTGCCAGCCTGCCTATAATCTCAGCTCATGGGAAGCAGAGACAGAGAATCCCTGGAGCAAGCTAACTAGAATAGACAAAATGGCAAGTTCTGAGTTCAATGACAGACCCTGCCTTGAAATATAACATAGAGAACAGGCCGGGGAAACACCCAATGTCAACCTTGAGTCTTCACATATACAAGCACACAAGTGCATCCACACATATATACATATGCACCTACACACACCCATACACAAACACACATGCACACATGCACACACAAACACACACTACACATTTTTTTTTATCTTTTTGAGACAGGGTCTCCCTGTAGCCCCAGCTGTCCTGGAACTCACTATGTAGACCAGGCTGGCCTTGAACTCACAGAGATCCACCTGCCTCTGCTTCCCAAGTGCTCAGATTAAAGGCATGCACCACCACGCCAGGCTATTTTTATTTTTTGTGTGTATGAGTGTATTGTCTGCATGTATGTGAGTGCACCCATGTCATGCAATGCCGTGGAGATCAGAAGAGGGCTTCAGATTCCCCTCGAACTGGAGTTAAGGACAGTTCATAGCTGCCGTGTGGGTGCTGGGAATCAAACCTGGGTCCTTTGCAAGAGCAGTCAGTGCTTCTAACCTTAATGGCTGAGCAATCTCCCCACCCCCACCACCCCCCCCCCTTTTTTTTTTTTTTTTTTTTTTTTTGGTCTTTTTGAGACAGAGTCTTCCCATAGCCTCCGCTGACCTGGAACTTGCTATGTAGACCAGGCTGGTCTTAAACTCACAGAGAGCTGCCTGCCTCTGCCTCTGCCTCTGCCTCCTGAGTGCTGGGATTAAACTGCATGTGCCACCATGCCCGGCATGGTTAACTTATTTTTTATAAAGCAGCAGCAGCTGCCCAAATTTGGTGGCACATTCCTGTCATCCCAGTACTTGGGAAGCTGTGATAGAAGGATGCTGGGTTCAAGATCAGCCTGAGTTATTTAGAGAGACCCCCGAGGGAGGAGGAGCAGCTGGTTCCCACAGCAGATGAGCCAGATTCCCATCTGTGGCTAAGAGTGATGAGATAGGGTGGCTGTCCCTCTTCTCTTCCCAGGTACCAAGGAGCCTCTTGTGGTCACCAAACATGGGATCCTCCAAGGAAAGCAGATCCATGTGGGAAAGACACCCGTCCATGTCTTCCTTGGAATCCCCTTCTCCAAACCTCCTGTGGGGGTCCACAGGTTTGCCCCTCCAGAGCCCCTGGAACCTTGGAATGGAATCAGAGATGCCACCACCTACCCACCTTCGTAAGAGCCAGAGGACTGCGGGCTGGGAGGTGGGCAGGCCTGAGGAGGGTGATATAGAGCAGTGCCTACCTCTTAGTGGCACCTGGAAAAACTCATCAAGAACACCCCGTGTGACCACTGCACACCTGGGGCCCTTTCTGGGCCTCAGTTTCCTAATCTGGGTGTGAGATTAGTCCAAATGGTATTTAGGACACTGACAGTACTGGCTTTGGTTTCTCATGAGAGAGCTCTAAACAAGGGAGATACGGTCACTGGCTGTGCCCCCAGAACCTTCTGGGAAGCTCAGTTTCTCAAATGTATTGAACCAGTTCTCATGCACACCCCAACCCCTTGGATGAACCCTGCATACAGCCCAGGAAAGAGCTCCAGCTTCCAAACAAGTCCACATGGCACTGCCAACCTTCCCCTGCAGAGAGCACTCCAAAATAAGGAATAGGCAGGCTTAAAGTTTTTTTTGAAAGTTCCTATGTCTTGCTGCCACCTACAGCCACCATACAGAAGACTTGGACAAGGATTGCCTTTTCCAGTAGTAGACTTGGCAGTTCACCCCAAATAAGTGTATTCATTGTTTATTCAGATCATTGAGTAATCAACTGTCTAGAATATTTCATAGCAATCATTAACGATATTCAGCATCAGCTAGTAAAAGCACAGAGTTTAGAAAAATGTCTATTGTGAGAACCTGGATTGTCAGCTGACTTTCAAATCAACCCTACAACTCCCTCCTGGATGTCTAGTTTTTAAGGATGGGCTCCACTGTTAGGACACAATCAGAGGCTAAAGGTTTTGCTGCTCCATGCTGGAGTATGTGTCAAGCATAGGTGAGACAGGCTCAATCCCTAGAACTACAAAAATTAAGTATAAAGACCAACTCTATTTTTTTTTGGAGACAGGGTCTCACTATGCAAGCCCTTGCTGGCTAGAACTCACTATGTAGAACAGGCTAGCCTTAATCTTACAGAGATCCGCCTGCCTCTACCTTCCGAGTGCTGGGATTAAAGGCGCCACCACACCTGGCTGACCAACTCTTACTAGAATACCAAGATGTTGAACATACTGTGAGATACATATTATTTGGAATCCTTAATATCAGAACATGGGATGGCATTTGTTAGCACCTTGCAGGTCAGATTTTAGAGATGAGGGTGTCCATTGCATAGACGTCTGGGTGTCAGTTGTTGGAACACTAACTATAAATTTGACTGTCAGAACAAGGACTATTTGGAACACAGAAGAATCTGTGGATTTCTTAAAACATCTTGGGATGGGTGTGTTAAGGGAGAGCAGGGAAAGAGGAAGCTATTGCAGAAATGATGTCTTCCACAAGGAATCTGGAAGGAAGCAGTCAGATTCCAGATTTATTTCAAATGTAAAGCTGATAGCATTTTCTGGAGACTTGGACATGACAAGGAAAGGAACTGTACGAAATGACTATTTTGACCAAGAGAATAAGAGTGTTATTCCCCAAAATGGTGAAGACTAGAGCAAGCATAGGTTTGGGCGAAACAAGAGTTCATTTGACTGCCAACCATGGTAGCACACACCAATAATCCCAGTAATTGGGAGGCTAGGGCAAGAAGACCAAAAGTTCAAGGCCAGTCTAGGCTACACAGCAAATTGGAAGCCAGCCTGGGATACTTGAGACTCTGTCTCAAAATAAAGAAGAAAAGAAAAAGAACCTGAGCTCTATACAAACTTCCAGTCCAGCCTAGGCTACATGTGAAGCTCTATATTAAAAAAATCAAAAAGAGGGGCTGGAGAGATGGCTCAGCTGTTAAGACCAGTGGCTGCTCTTGCGGAGGACCCAGGTTCAAATCCCAGCACCCACATGGCAGTTAACAACCATCTAAAACTCCAGTTTCAGGAAATTCAAGCCCTCTTCTGACCTCCGTGGATATTGCAAACATGTATGCACTTACATACATTCAGGCCTAACATTCATACACAGAAAATAAATAAATAAATAAATGCAAAAAGAAAAGCAAGAGATAACTAAAGGGGAGAGACACTTGGGCCCTCTTATGCTTAGACTTGGGATAGCAGGAGAAGCCACCAAACAGTAGCAGGAAAATTCGAGGAGTTACAGAAATCTGGGGAAGGAGCTGCTCAAGATGGGCCAGCCTCAATGTGGAAGGCCATGACAAGAGTAGCTTTGGTGATGTGATGGGGACAGAAACTTCAACTACTCTTTTTTAAAAAAGATTTTATTTATTTTTGTTTTATGTCTATAAGCATTTTGCCTATATGTATGTAAGTGTACCATGTGTATGCCTGGTACATGTGGTAGCCAGAAGAGGGAGTTGGATCCCCTGGAACTGGAATTAAGGATGGGTATTAGCTGCCATGTGGGTGCTGGGAACTGAACCCAGGTCCTCTGCAAGAGCAGCCAGTGCAGTTAACTGCTGAGCCATCTCTCCAGCCCCATCTCAACTGTTCTTATTCTCAGTTCTTAGCTATAAGATCCCTGGATATTTTTAGTGCAATGTTAACATCAGCATTAGTTGCTAGCAAAAAATAGGACAAGGAGAGAGCTCAGTCATTAAAATGATTATTTTGCAAGCATGAAGGCATGAATTTGATTCAACAACAATATAAAAAGTCAGATATGGTAGTGTGTACTTGTAAGCCCAGCACTGGGAAGATGGAAACAGAAGGATCCCCAGGGCTCACTGGCCAACCAGTTTAGCCTAATTGATGAGCTTCAGGTTAATAAGAGAGCCTGTCTCAAAGGAGGTGAATGGTGTTTCTGAGGATGACATTGAGGTAGGCCTCTGGCTTCCACATGAACACAGCACACACACACACACACACACACACACACACACACACACACACACATGCATTTTTTAAAAAGAAGAAGAGGGCTATTAAGATGGCTTAGCAGATAAAGGTACTTGCCACCAAACCTGATGACTTGGATTCCTTCACTGGGACACACATGGTAGAAGGAAAGAACCAACTTTGAAAGCTGTCCTATGACCTCTACATATGCATTATGGCATGTACATGTACATAAATAAATAAATATAATTAAAATTAGAAAAAGAAAAAAAAAGAAGTCAAGCAAGGGAACAGGAATATTGCCCAGAAAAAAAGGCCTTGCCTAGTATGCCGAGGGCCCTAGTTCTTGGCACCATAAATTTCAAAGGAGGAAGAAGCCAAGCAAAAAAGACAAAAGGCAGTCAAATATTGTGGCACATGCTCATAATCCCAGTACTTGGGAGATGGAAGCAGGAGGATCAAGAGTTCAAGGTCAGCCTCAGTCTGAGTGAAAAGAAAAGAAGGGGAGGGAAAAGGAAAGGAAAGGAAAGGAAAGAGGTGAGAGGAGATGAGATATGCCGCTTGCTGGTGACCTTGGAGAGGCAAGGTGAGGTAGAATGGGGGACAACTGGCTGAAAAGTTTATGCTGGAGCTGGGTGTAGTGGCACATGCCTTTAATCTCAGTACTTGGGAGGCAGAGACAGGCAGATTTCTGTGAGTTTAAGGCCAGCCTGGTCTACATAATGACTTCCAGGCCATAAAGAGACACTGTGAACATATATATGTATTTTCGCCCTGCGACTGAGGAGATGGCTTTGTTAGTAAAGTGTTTGCCTTGCAGGTATGAGGACCTTCAAGCCCCAAAAACCCACATTAAAAAGCCAAGAGCCCTGACAAGAACTTGGAATCCCAGTACTGGGGAGGCAGAGACAGGAGGATTCCTAGGGCTCACTAGCCACCCAGCCTAGCTTACTCAGCAAGCTTCTGGATATTAAGAAATCCTGTCTCAAAAAACAAGATGGATGGCCTTCCCACAGAATGACACTGGAGGTTCTTCTCTGGCCTCCACATGCATGTGTAAATATGTGCATCCACATGCACACATGCACCAGCACACACACAAAAGAAAAGGGAAAAAAGATAGTGAACTAGGACAGATGCTGGCAAAGGTAGATGGGAAAGGACAGATTTGAATGAGGTCTGTTGAAATGCCATGGGAAAGATGATGGTCTGCAAACAGGCTGGAACAAGAGGAGAAATGAACAGGCAGACAGGGATTCCTTCACTCTGTCTAGTAAGTACAGCCTCAACCTTATACGAATAGCCATTTGAGGGGCTGGAGAGATAGCTCAGCTACTAGGGACAGTAGCTACTCTTGCAGAGTACCCAGGTTCAATTCCCAGCACCCATATGGTGGCTAACAACCATCCAGATTCCAGGGAATCTTATACTCTCTTCTGACCTCCACATGCCCTGCATGACACAGGTGCACCTACCTACATGCAGACAATACACTCATACATATAAAACAAAATAATAAAATATTTTTTAAAAAGAATAGTCATTCTTAGGCCAGCAGGAGGGGAAGCTGAGGGTGTCATACAGCTCATTCTCTTCAAATACCCCAAAAGTCCACATAGTGCACTGAGCCGAGTGCCAGGATGCACTGTCATCTCTGCTTTCAGGAAATGGTTGGGTCAAAGGGAAAAAAACAACAACCAACTGAAATAACTTCAACCAGCACTACAGTCAGGAGTGCACAGAACTTTGGGGGGCACAGATAAAGGAGTGCCCATAGAGGGGGCACCACTTGAGCTGGCCTTAAACAGGAGTAGGGATTTGCTGGGCAAAGAAGGATTTCACAGAGGACACAGAGGCATAAGGGCTTGGAGGTGAGAGGTAAGCAGTCATTATATCAAGAACAAAGGGTAGCTGATGACATGACTGGATGGAAAAGAAAGGCTGAGTCAGACTGGGGACATCTGGACTTTATCCAAGGGCAGTGGGGAGTTAGAGAACAAGTTTATGGAGAGAGGAGTTTCCCATACTAGCCCAGAATGACCTTGAACCCATGGCAATCCATCTATTTTAGCCTTCTGAGTTCTGGGATTACTGGTATGAGTCCCTATGCACTATGGGGAAGGTTTTATAAAAATTATTTTTATTTTATGTGTATGAGTGTTTTGCTAGCATGTATGTAAGTGCACTCATGCATGCAATGCCTGCAGAAGCCAGAAGAGGGTTAGAATCCCCTGGAACTGGATAGTTATGGATAGTTGTTGGCTGCCATGTGGGTGCTGGGAACTGAATCCTGGTCCTCTGGAAGAATATTCAGTGCTCTTAACTGCTGAGCCATCTTTCTAGGGAAGATTTTTTTAAAGGGGACTGGCATGGTCTGATCTGTGTTTGATTTTGTTTGTGGTCAGTTTTATCAACGTCCTCCAGAGTAATGAGAACAAGTTGTAAGAGTGTGAACAGGTTGCTACTAGCTATGTCCAGACCACAGGTTTGATGGTCTTGACAGTTCAGCAGTCCTGTGTATGTTCTACAGCTCCTTAGACTACTTAGGAGACAGAAGAGAGGTGAGGTATGAAAGGCAAAGACATACCCAGGGCACAGAGGCATAGGACTTGATGGCATGAGCAGCCTCCAACAACAGCACACTACCCAGGCAGACCAGAGGGGTGAAGGGCAACACACAGGTAGAGGGATGGATACTGGGAGATGGGTCAACATCCTCTTGGACCTCAGGGATGGTGAAAGCCTCAAGGGGACACATGCACACATACAGAGACTGCCAGGATTTTGCATTGGGTCCTTCCCCCTCACTGCGGACCCTGGGTTGAAGTCATTCTCTTCCTTGCCAATCCAAACCCACCGCGTGCCCGTAGGTGCCTTCAGGAGACCTGGGGGCAGATAACTTCCATGTACTTAAACACCCGGAAACAATACAAATGGCTGCACTTCAGTGAGGACTGCCTCTACCTGAACGTGTACGCTCCGGGGCACGCCCCTGGGGACCCTCTGCTGCCGGTGAGTATTTCGTTTTCAGTACACGCGGTCCCACTCCACCACCCCACCCCCTCACTCAGATTTCCGTGGCCTTCCCCGCCCAGGTGATGGTCTGGTTCCCCGGAGGCGCCTTCCTCATCGGCTCTGCTTCCACCTACGAGGGTTCAGAATTGGCCGCCCGAGAGAAAGTGGTGCTGGTGTTCCTGCAGTACAGGCTGGGCATCTTGGGCTTCTTCAGGTGGACAGGGCCTAGGCCCAGGGGCAGGAGGCGGGGACTGGCAGAATAGGGCGTGGCTGTGGGCGGGACCGCGTGCAGAACCCCTCACTCGTGGTGCCTGATACACTGAGGAATGGGGGTAGGACTGAGTCTCAGGGGGACGCAGGCAGGGTAGGTTGGTAGCTCTCTGAATCCTGACCGTCGAAGTTTGGAACCCTGACCCTGAATCTCGTGTGCCTAGCACTGGAGATAGCCAGGCCCGGGGGAACTGGGGGCTGCTGGACCAGATAGCAGCTCTGCACTGGGTGCAGGAGAACATCGAGGCCTTTGGTGGAGACCGAAACAGCGTGACACTGTTTGGCCAGTCGGCAGGAGCCATGAGCATCTCGGGACTGGTGAGTGTGATTCCCAGTGGTCCAGGACAGACGCAGGCCAGCATATTCCCACACTGTACAGGTACATGTGCAGATCTGTGTGTCCACAGACATGTGGGTCGACAGACCTGCGTTCATGCCTGCCAAGGACACCATGCCTGCTGAGGGCACAGCCCCTGACAGCCAAGGGTGCTCTCTCCTCAAGAATAGCATTGATAGGGGGCCTGTGAGATGGTTCTTGGTGGGAAGAGTGACTGTGGACAAACCTGACAATCTGTCATGTGCCTACCATCTTTTGCTTCCCCCAAGCCCTAGTTCCTGAACAAAGCCCACCATCTACCCTCTGGGCAAGGTTGGGGAGAGTCTGCATGGAAATTCAGCGCCCGAGTTGGAAACTTCACTTTGGTTCTAACTTTCTTGGGGAACTGCTGAGCTGGGATGTGCCTGGAGCATGAGTATAAAGGGACCTTGTGAAGACACAGAAGTGGAAAATGAACAGGAACCACATCATGCATGGCCTTAAAGGCTACAGTAATCAGGCTCAAACACCTGAGGGTTTTCTATGTGTCAGGCACTCTCCTATGCACCTTATGGGTATCATTTTATTTAATTCCCTCAATCCAAAAAGAGCTGGGTGTGGTGGTGCACGCCTGTTAATCTCAACAGTTGGGGCATGAAGGCAGGAAGATCAGGAGTTCAAGGCTAGCCTTGGCACATAGTGAGTTTGAAACTAACCTGGGCTATATGAGACCTTATTTCAAAACATCTAAATAGCCAGGGATGTTAGTACAAGCCTTTAATCCTAGCACTCAGGAGACAGAGGAAGGCAGGTCTCTGAGTTTGAAGCCAGCCTGATCTACATAGCAAGTACTAGGCCAGCCAGGACTACAAATTGGGATCCCTTTCTTAAAATTTAAAAAAAAAAAAAATCTGCCAGGCATGGTGGCACATGCCTTTAATCCCAGCACTCGGGAGGCAGAGACAGGTGGATGGATCTCTGTGAGTTTGAGACCAGCCTGGTCTACATAGTGAGTTCTAGGTCAGCTTGAGCTATAGGGAAATCCTGTCTCAAAAAGACCAAAAACGAAAAACAAAACAAAACAAAAAAATCTGAATACACAGGCAGAGCTGTAATCACAGCATTCCTGAAGCAGACCTGAAGTGCCTTGGCCAACCTGAGCTATACAGAGTAGGGAACTCACTGTCCAAAACTAACAAACTAATCAACAAACAAAAGAAGTTTAAATCAAAATAGGTAAGCATTGCTGCCCTCATTTTATAGATGAAGAAACTCAGGCTTAGAGAAAAGAGGCAATTACATCTAAAGAGTACTAGAGACAGGGATAGGCTTGTTATGGTAGTGGTTTGGTTTGGTTTGGCTTGGCTTGGTTTTTGTTTGTTTGTTTCCTTGTTGAGACAGGGTCTCACTATGCTACCCTTGCTGGCCTCAAACTTGGAATTTACACCAAGCTATCCTGGTATTTGATATGTAGACAAGGATGGCCTCAAACTTGTAGCTTGCAGCTACCCTTCAGAGAACAAGGATGGATTTTAAGCAGGGAAGTGATAGGATCCTATGTGAATTTAAAGTGGTATCTCAGTCTGCTTCATGGAACTTCCCTAGATGGAAACAAAAATACAAACACACAAACTTGGAGACCAAGGGGGGGGGGTGGGGAAGGAGCAAGGTTTATCCCAGAGAAGATAATGGGGGTAGGGAGAATGGAGGGTACAGGGTGATTGCAGAGTGACTCACAAAGTCAAATGGACGGGACTAGAGTAACTGCTTGTGACAGAGAGGAGAGGAGATAGGGATAACCCCTCTGGTTGGGCAGATGACAGAGGGGGAGGGGATTCTACCCACCTGGAGACTGACTAGAGCAGGTTTGAGACACTCAAGTTTTTAGGTATTTAAGGATGTAGCTGTTCCCCCCAAGACCTGTCAGCACAGGTAATTGAAGCTGTACAAACTAGAGGGCCCCCTTCTACCTCATTTGTCACCCTGTAGCAGAGAAAGACCCTTTCTCCATACCAGCAAATCACCTCCTATATCCTCCAATCAACTCTGGGACCCCTAGAGCCCACTGCACAGATCAGACTCAAAAAAGAGCTAGCTTTAACTCTAGGACTCCAGCTTAGGACTCGTGACTCCCTCCCAGCTGCTTACCTCTCAGACTACTCAGAAATGGCCAGGCAGGCATCCCAAAACAACCAAAGTGCCCCTATTATGCAGTTGTTTCCCATCTCTACAGTTGATGTCACCCCTAGCTCAGGGTCTCTTCCATCGGGCCATTTCCCAGAGTGGCACTGTGATCATGAAAGTCTTCATCACCCCTGATCCACTGAAGGCAGCTAAGGTGGGTATCTGTCCTCTCCCAGGGCTCAACAAAAGGTGGGAAGGATGGAGGCATCCCTGAGTGCCCTTCTTTCTACAGAAAATTGCTCACATGGCTGGCTGCAACCACAACAGCACAAGAATCATGGTAGAATGTCTGAGGGCTCTATCAGGGGCTCAGGTGATGCATGTGTCCAAGAGAATGGTAGGTAGAACATTCCTGTTGCCCTACTTGAATGCCACTGTACTGTAGCTATCTATAGCTACCTCTCTGGGGAAACTGTTTCTGGATCATGTTGCAGAAACTTCCTTTAGTTATTATTCTCTCCTGTCCCTTACAGGCATTCTTTCATGTCAATCTCAAGAAAGATCCAAAAGACGTGAGTAAGCTATGGTCTGAAATTTGAATATAGTATTGAATACTTATGGTGTGCTAGGTCCTCAGGATACTTGAGAAACTGTTCCAGATAAAACCCCTTCCCTAGAGGAATAGCTGTCCCACTGAGAAGTGACAATAAGTCCTATAAATAAATAAGTCATTCACTTCCCTAGAAGGTAGTAAGTGATTAGCAACAAGGGAAAGGGGTTGGGCCCGGCACAAAGAAAGGAATCCTAAATAGAATGGAGAGTGCATGCCTCAGTGAAGTGATATTTTGTAAAAAAAAATTTCAAGGGATGAGGGACTGAGCTATGGTGGATGCCTGAAGCAAGCATCTGAAGTCTGAGTAGCCTGGTCCTACCTATCCTGGTTCCTCCCACACTCACCTTTTCAAGAGTTATCATGGACATGAAAACTGAGAAGGACATGCAGAGCTGGGCACACAAGTCACGAGGGCTCTGGTGGGTATGAGATGACTAGTTGAAAAATGCCTCATTGGCCTTGCAGGTTATATGGTTCTTGAGCCCTGTAGTGGATGGTGTGGTATTCCCAGAGGACCCTGTGGTACTCCTGACCCATGGAAAGGTCACACCTGTGCCCTACCTTCTAGGTATCAACAGCCTGGAGTTCGAGTGGACCTTGCCTTTTGTGAGTGGATGGGAAGGGTTCTCGCCACAATGGGTTAGCAGACGATGCCTCTTAACCAATGTTTGGGCACCAAGTCAGATCTTAGTAGCCCCTCTGAGGACACACGAGTACCTGGTAATCCCCTGTATTCCTTGTGCAGGGAGAGCTGGCCAGCAATGATGGAAGGGGTGGGGAGAGGTACAGTCCACACCTGAGCCTCCAGGAGACTGCACACTCCAGTGACCTCCTTTACTCCTGGGTCAGGGCAAATGCCCCCAGCTCAAGATGGGCTCTCTCAACCCTCCTTCATCCCTGGACTAAGTGGCAATAACAGACAGGGAGCAGGACAGGTTGTGGGTCTTTCCTGGGCTGAATGTTGTCTGAGAATCCCCCATGCAGACAAGCAAGATCTCAGGCCTGACCCACCCCTGGGTGCTTCTCTTGCCGAGCAGCTCATGAAGTTGCAGCTAACCCAGCACTTAATGAACAAAAAATTCCTCACAAGATTTCTCTGGAGTTCCAGAACCCTGCTGGTAAGGGGCCCTGCTCTCAGGGTTGTTCAGTGTAAACAGGACTAACACCTACACAACTTTAAAAAAAAATAGCTGGTCTTTGCAAGGGGTCCTGAGACAGGGATGAGGTCTTTCGTGGCAGGTCTTAAAGGGATTTGACATGGGATCAGATGGCTGCTGATGGGCAGGATCTCCAAGGCACCCTTATGGGAGGTAGTTCTCCTGTGGGAAAATTAGGGGTAAGAATCAAACAAAACTGAGACCTTTCCTAGAAAGCCATTCCCAGAAGTCCTGGGGAACAAGTCAACATACCCAACGAAGGGCCCACCCCAGCCCAGCTGGCACAGCAGGCCTCAGGGTGGTGTGGTATCCTGGCCTAGAATATCACTAAAGAGCAGATCCCACTGGTCATGGAGGAATACTTGAATGATGCCATCGATAAGCATGACTGGAAGATGTTCCGAAACCACCTGATAGACCTACTTGGAGATGCCACCTTCGTGTACTCCACGCTTCAAGCTGCCTGCTACCACCGGGGTATGGGAGCCCCCCTACACTTTCCAGCTGGGCTGCTTCCCTACCCTCTCTACATGCGGGGGCTAGTACAGGACTCCAGGATGCTGCAGAGCAAGCCAGAGAAAGAACTGTTCCTTAGGGACAAGGGCAGAACTTCAGTCAGCCCAGTGGAGAAAATTGGGGTGGCAGAGAAGGTACCTGGTTAAGAGGACAGGCTTAAGGGCATTTTGAAAATCCTGCCTAGGCTGAGCTTGGGAACGTGAGGGTGAGAGGTCAAAGGTGAGGCTGGAGAGGGGAGACACTGAAGGTCCTTAAATGCCATGCCAAGAACAGAAAATTCAGAAGAGGGAAAAGATTCTATGATTTTCGCTGTAATCCTGCCAAATCGGGTTTTAGTGCCCCCACTGCGCAGATGAGAAAACACAGCTCTGAGAGTTTGAGTGACTTGCCCAGGGTCAGATAGCTAATGATTAATGCAGACAGACTTTTAATCTGCTCCATGACTCTAAAGCTGAAGCTCTGCCTAATGCAGGTGGGTGGGATGCATGGGGTGGATGGGAAACTCAGACTGGGGCTTTTTCTGCAGTCCTCTATCTCACTATTCATAGATGCTGGCTTTCCGGTCTATCTGTATGAGTATGCACACCATACTTCAGGCATAATTGTCAAACCTCGAACTGATGGAGCAGACCATGGGGATGAGCTTTCATACATCTTTGGGAGCCCCTTCTCCAAAGGTGCCTATGCCCTACCTGATACCTCCACTGGGTGTTCAGTCTCCCCACCTGTATATGCAGGCCCTTTCCCCCACTGACTAGTCTCAGGTATCTCCCAAATACAGAGTGGGAGGTTGGCACCTTAGCTCTCTCCAAAGTGCCACATCCTCTTCTGCCCCCAGGCTCATCCACAGCTGAAGAAAAGGCATTCAGCCTCCAGATGATGAAATACTGGGCCAACTTTGCCCGCACAGGGTGAGTCTGGCCCCCTGACACATCTGAACAGTGCTAGGGCCCATAGGAACATCACAGTCAAGCCTGGGCCCCTCACATTTTTCCATTCAGTCATGAGATTCTAAATGTCTCTAGAATGTGTCCCCTCTGTCCATGACCCACTCTCTTTTCACCCTAGTACTGGAAGCTGGAGTTCAATGATGTCACAGACATATGTCCCATCCTCCTTCACCCCTCCATATGAAAACAAAATTTCAATCAGGCTCAATGACTGCTATCCCAAGTGGTATACTGGGCCTCTTAGAGAGCATCAAGGAGGTATCTAGTCCTGCCTGGGTGGCTAAGGAGGCTTCAAGTGGAAGTAACACCTGAACTGGGTTTTGGCTGTCCCATGAGTATTTTCCTAGCCCCACCTTCCCACCTCCATCTTTCTGTGACTCTAAAGGGGTCTTTCTGAAATATCATCTGACCAAGTCACTCACTAGCTTAAAACCCTTGCACATGCCCCTAGAATAAAGTTTCATCCCCTTAGCCTGGTATGAAATATGAATCCACTATTACCCTTTTTGCATACCCATCCTCTTTACATACACTCTAACATTGCCTAACCTTGTACTTCTACTATATCCAAAGCCCTGATCTCTACTCTAAGCCTTTTGTGTGCTGTTTCTTCCTGGAATCTCTCTCTCTCTCTCTCTCTCTCTCTCTCTCTCTCTCTTCTCTCTCTCTCTCTCTCTCTCTCCTCTCTCTTTCTCTCTCTCTCTCTCTCAGCTGGCCTCTAAATCACAATCCTCCTGCCTCCACCTCCTGGATGCTGGAGGTGTGCCCCCCACACACTATTCTTTCATAGTGATCTGTGCAAATATCATTTCCACAAAGCCCTCTTAGACCCAGTTCCCAAAGTGAAGGTAAAAAAGAGAAGGTTAAGAGGAGGAAGCAGAGTGAGAAAAGTAAAAAGCCTCTCTCCTCCCACCTTGGGGACAGGAACCCCAATGACAAGAAGCTGCCCTACTGGCCACGATTTGAAGAGGATGAGAAATACCTGCTGTTGGATTTCACTACAAGGGCAGGTGTGAAGCTCAAGGAGAAGAGGATGTCCTTTTGGGGAAGTTTGCACCAGCCTCCAAGATCTTAGAAGCAGAAGTGAGGCTGAGAGTGACCAAGCAAGAGGGACCTGAAGGGCTTGTCCCACAGTCTGTCTTAAGGAGATTGGCCCTGGACACATTTGGGAACAAGCGTCCCGTCCACTCAATGTCAGACCTTCAGGAAGTCCATACTCCCTTCAGGCCATAGCTGGAGCCCTAGCCCATCATCACACCCCGCCCCACCCTGTCCAGCCTGGTGTCCTATGACACTACCATATCTCACTATCTAAATCAAGTTAGGCCCAGGGCCTTCCATCAGCACAATGTGCTCTGCTCCGCTCAGCCTCAGGACAATCTTCTCTCCCTTTCCAAGTCCTTCTACTCTTCAACATGTATTTGCAGCCCCTTCTTATGGAAAGTCCACACAGACTGCCACTGTCTGTCATTGCATCCTGCTGTCATGTATTATCTACCCTTTTCTTTTTTTTGTCTTTTTTGAGACAGGGTCTCCTTGTAGCCCCAGCTCTCCTGGAACTCACTACGTAGACCAGGCTGGCCTTGAACTCACAAAGATCTGCCTGCCTCTGCCTCCCAAGTGCTCCGATTAAAGGCATGCGCCACCACACCCGGCTTATCTGCCCTTTTTAGCCTGCTTGTTCATGCTGGCTTTGAGGCCCTAGGCAAGTTATTCCTGATACAATGCAAAGCTATGACAAGTTTAGAATCTCTCCCCTCTCCCACACTTTATCTCCCCCAGGGCTTCTCCATTACCTGTACCTAAGGATAGTCCTCAATAAAGATGTGTTGACTTGATCCACAATTTCTCTATCTGTAAAATGGCTATGGGAAGTGGATGGTGTCTCAATTTGGGCCCTTAAAGTAACAGAACATTTTTGCTTGTTTCTTCCTGGGTTGTACTTGCTAGGGAAGCTGCAGCAAAGTGGCATGGACTATAGAATGCTTGGTTTGTGCCAGATGTGGTAGTGAATGCCTGTAATTCTGGCACTTGGGAGGTGGAGAAAGATCCAGAAGTTCAAAGTCATCCTCAGTTACAAAGAGAGTTTGAGGCCAACCTAGACTACAGAAGACCCTGTCACAATAAACAACAAAACAGCTGGGTGCGGTGGTACACACCCTCTGTAACTCCAGTTCCAGGGAATCTAATACCCTCTTCTGGCCTCCATGGACATTGCATGACATGGGTGCACTTAGATACATGCAGGAAAAACACTCATACAAATAAAATAAAAATAAATCAATCAAAAAACTTTTAAGATTGTTTGTGTGTGTGTGTGTGTGTGTGTGTGTGTGTGTGTGTGTGTGTATACCACGTTGGTAGCAGAAGTGGGGAGGCAGGGGTGCCCATGGAGGCCAGAGGAAAACGTTGGATCCTCTGGAGCTGGAGTTACAGGCAGTTGTGAGACACCTGACAAGAATGCTGGGAACCAAATGTGGGTCCTCTGGAAGAGCAATAGTCACTTTTCTGCTGCTGTGATAGAAACACTGACCAAAACAATTTATAGAAGGAAGAGTTTATTTGAGCTTACGATTCCAGGAGAATTATAGTCTGTCATGGCAGGGAGGCATAGTGGCTGGAGGTGGCTGGAGCAGGAGCAGCAGAAGCTAAGCTCTCACATCATCACGCAGGCACAAGAAGCAAGAGAAGCAACTGGAGATCTGGCAAGGCTTAAGAATTCTCTAAGCCCACTCCCAGTGACGTGCTTCCTCCAGGATAGCCACACCTTCTAAAACCTCCAAAAACAGCACCATCATCTGGGGACAAAATGTCCAAATACTTGGAGTCTATGGGGGACATTTTCATTCAAACCATCACAAGCAACAAACACAATTAACTGCATTTCCAGTCCCTGGTCCTCTACTTTCTATCTCCATGAATTTGACTCTTTGGGGCACCTCATAAAGTAAATTCATACACTTGTCCTTTCATCTGTACCTTAACATCTATAAGGTTTGTCCATGTTGTTGAATGTAAGAAAAAATTTAATCCTTTTTAAGACTGAATAGCCTTCCATTGTCTGTATATATTATATATTCTTTACCTATTTAATCATTGGTGGACATTTGGGTTGTTTCTGCCTCTTGTGACTAATGCAGCTACAAATATTGGTGTTATGCTCCATAGGAATAGAAAACAAACTGATACATCCTCTAACAAAGCTACTTTGATACTTCCCTGAATTTTTTTCAAGGAGGCCTCACTTTTGAAGGTTCTGTGTTTGTTTCAACCTTTCCAATTTTAGCAAGAATCCTGCCAAGTCAGTTTAGCCAGAGACACCCCACACACACTTCCTATCTGATCACCTTCCATAACTAATGGGATTCTTCATCCTATACATCCCCTATGTGATGTCTGAGCACCTGGTCCTGCCTTCAGCCAAAATTGTTAGATAGGTCTAGCCAGGACCTCTCATACTTCTTGCTAGTAATTTTTCCACCTATTGACCCATCCTGTTCTTGACTATAAATTCTCATTCTCATATGCTATATTTTCTCTCCCCCACTGCAAAAATCCCATTGCGGAGATTCAAATCCCATTGCAAAAGTTCCTATGTCTATTTCAATAACCTTAAATGAAGCCTGCCTGCCTTCCCTGAGCTTTAACAAATGTTAGGACTAGGGGGCTGGAGAGATGGCTCAAGGACTAATGTTTTGTATTTCTTTTGATTTAGTTATTTTACTGTATGCGTATGAATGTTTGGCCTGCTATATGTGTACCCATGCATGCAATGCTCACAGAGGCCAGAAGAGGGCATTGTATCCCTTGGAACTGAAGTTCCTGGTGGTTGTTAGCTGTCATGTGGGTGCTGGGAACTGAACCCAGGTCCTCTGTAAGAGCAGCCAGTGCTGCTGAGCCATCTCTCCAGCACCAACCCCCCCCCCATACTCACTAGATAGCTGTCTGGCCTTGAACTCATAGCAATCCTCCTGCCTCCCAAGTTTTAAGATTATAAGCGTGAGTCACCATCCCCAGCTTGATTTTCTCTTCACACCCAGGTCTAGGGAAGGGAGTTTCTCCCCCTAATTAGAAGAAGTACAGCTGAACAGGACCAAGAGCTGAGCCCTGAGAATCAAAAACGAAACCCTAGGACCTTCCACCTTCCCTGTGTTCCAGCAACCTGGATGGGAGCCCCGGTGGACTACCTGCTCCACACTCTCCCCATCCACCCAGAAAGGTGCCCGCACAAGTGCCAAGCTAGCGCCTGCCCAACGCCCACCTCGGAGCTGGAGCCTGGCCCCAGCCGCGGACGCAGCGCCCCCTCTTCTCCAACGCCTCCACACCCGAAGCAGCAATTATCCAGCGGGCTAGGAAAGGGCCAATTAGTGCAGGAGATGCGACCCTCCACCGATTCCTGCTGCCTCCGCAGCGCCAGAGCCAGCTCTTTGGTGCGCCCCAGGCTCCAACCGCCCGCGGGTCTCAGGCCTCCCTGTCTGGCCGACAGCGCCTGCTGCCTGGGAGCTCCGGGGGACTCGCCGTCAGGCCTCGAGCCAAATGCAGTGATGGATCCGTCGCTGGCTCCTAACCAGAGCCCAGGCGGACTCCAGGGCGCCGGGGCCTGGAACTAGGAGGGGCTGGCGGGGAGGAGGAGG